GCTTGAGCCACAGGCGCTGAGCCGAGAGTGAATGTTATCAGTGGGCCCAGGGTTGCAGTTGAGGAAGAGGTGGGGCCCATGCCCAATTGGGTTATGACCTCAGAGAGGGCAAAGTCAAGGAGGCTGTGGTGAGGCCAGGAGCCAGCAAGGCTAATAATGAACAAATACCATACCAATTTGGATTTGAAATGGAACCCCAACATCATCCATCCATCCAAAACTCATATAACATCTGTCCCCCCAACATACTCCATGCATCCACCTAGTATCTTATGTGCATCCATCTATATCTATCCAATATTTTCCAACCATCCATCCCTCCCTCCATCTGTCCAATATCTTCCATCCATCCAACATGGATCTAATATCCTCCATCCATCTGTTCATCTGTTCTCTGAGTCCTTCCCTTGTACCAGATCCCACCTGTGTCCTAGGGATCCAGAGACAAATCAGCCATATCCTGCCCCTCAAAGAGCTCATACACAGAAGGGAGATAGTCCTGTAAATAGATGCTAGGCTTGTGATAGGTGCCAAGATGCAGATAAGCACAAGTTCCAAAGGAACTTGAAGAAGAGTGACCTAAAATAGTCTGGGGGATCAGGAAAGAGGTGATCCCTGATTTGAGGCCCCAAAGATGTATGGACAAGAGCTAGCCAGTATAAGATGGTGGCACTGAGCACCAGCCTTAGGAACCTTGGAGTTTCCCTTTGTGGAAATGGAGGTAAGTTGGATGGGTTGTGGGTGAGGGCCACAGAGGGCTCTTAAATTGAGCTGGTTCCATCTGGTCAGAAACCTGTCTCACAAGGGGCTGGCTGTGGGCAGTGGCAGGAAGGGTGTAAACCAAAGCATAAAAGAAGTACCACAATCCTTCTTCTACCCCAGTTTACATATTCACCAGTGCCTTCCTTTTCCTCTGCTGCCCTTTACCCAAGGCTGAGGGAGATGACTCAACAAGGAGTCCTTGTCACTTTTCTCATAGCTAGATCTGTACCTCCTAGGCCTTCAAGTCAAATCTCATGAGACATCAGAGAGGACCTGAAGGGAAGAAGACCCAGGGCTTGCACTCAAGGATCTTGGGAGTAGCTGCACACCCAGGAGGTGGAGATAACTGCAGGTCCCACCTATGCTGGTGGGACTGTCCAAGGGCTTTCTGATAAAGAGGAAGTGAACCCTTAAATAAAGAGTAAGCAGACTCCAGGTCTCAGCAAGACCATCTAGTGATGTCTAGTCACAGGGATGTAAGGTGGGGTAGAGATGATGGGATGGAGGAGGGGTCTGAACCCCAAGATGGTGATACAAAATGATAACAAAGCCATGGAGGTGAAAACTGATAATGGTTATTAGGCTGAAGGCAGAGGGTGGAGCTACAACCTGAAGTATGTCAGGTCTTTGTGGCCAAGAGGTGGAAAAAGCCCTTATTGATAGGAAAGACTAAGATTTTAGGTCTCTTGGGGGGAGGGGGAGGAGAAGAGAGAGAGATGTTGCTTAAATGGATATAGAATTTCAGTTTTGTGAGATGAAAAAGTTCTAGAGCTGTTTCACAACAATGTGAATACATATAACATCACTCTGTTATCCATTTACACTTGAAAATGAATAAGGTGGTACATTGTATGCCATGTTTTCTTTTTTTTTTTAACCAGAATAAAAATAAGATTTCGGGTTTAGCATGTTAATGTGGTTTTGGGGATAAAGAGTCACATGGGCTTTTTTTTTTTTT